AACGCGTTTGTTCAAATCCGGTGACACGAAGTACATCTGCTTCCTCTTTCAAAGTCTTAAGATATTTTCGAAATCGACGAACTTGTTTTATTTGTTCCATCAGCGTTCTATGTTATGGAGTTGGAAATTTGCCAATTTCTGTATGGTTTATATGGGCCATCGTTGGCGAGGATAATTTACTAATAAATTATCTTTGGTTTTTCTATCTTAGTTTCATTTTAAGGATTGCTGGTACAAGTTCAGCAAATCCACTCATATACGGAATATTTGACAAAAAATTGCTCGCAATTTGCAAACTTTGCCCGAAGTGGAAAAGAGAAAATGTTAGACCAGTCATTGTATCCAGTTGGAAAATGGACACGCGACTATAGGTTACCACGATGGCGTATTCCAATAAGTGCCAGAGATTTTTCCAGAGAAAAGAAACGGAGTTGTATACGAGCTAATTATAACCTGGGCTTGCAAGTTGCTTGAACTTTGGAAACTATAAAAAAGTTGATAACTTTGGACTTTCATATAACTTTGGAAACTATATACAAGGTTGATATTTTCACCAACCAAACATAAAGAATTTATGTCAATTATACAGGGTGTATCAAAAAAAGTAAGACAATTTTGAAATTGCTCTCAATTCCACAATTCTGCTCATGAAATGTAATTTTTTATATGTATGGATTGCTTGAGTTCTTAAATTATGGAAAATATAAAAAAAATTGAAAATAGTAAATTTTGCTATCCAGGGGGGTGGTCAACTTTTGCTCTCCTAAAAGTGGCTTGCGCACGGAAATGACAAACGGTATTCTTTATTTGAGTTCATGTATGAAAAGTTCGCTATTTGTTGCATTTATGATAAAATTTCGGCAGGATTTTACCGAGTACAATCCTCCGAAAAGCCTATGAAAACGTTACATTTTTCTCTGTTGGTGCTGTTCTTGCTTCATTATGAATTCATTTTTACTCCCATGAGAGTTCCGTGGAATTTCCATGGAATTTGTGCTTTCGAGTTGTTTGTGCTGAAACGCATTCTCTCGTATAATACCCCGTACACTTTGAAATGGCGATGCCACAATTTACCCCGCAGCAGAGAGCTTTTATGCATGGTATCAGAGTTCCTCCGCAGCAACAACATAAACTTGGTTCGCCTAAGTTTTACGAACGAATATCCAGATGTACGATGCCCTTCACGTATTCGCACGTGAAGGGCATCGTACATCTGGATATTCTTTCGTGAAACTTTGGCGAACCAAGTTTATGTTGTTGCTACGGAGGAACTCTGATACCATAAAGTCCATAAAAGCTCTCTGCTGCGGAGTAAATTGTGGCATCGCCATTTCAAAGTGTACGGGGTATTATACGAGAAAATGCGTTTCAGCACAAACAACTCGAAAGCACAAATTCCATGGAAATTCCATGGAGCTCTCATGGGAGTACAAATGAATTCATAATGAAGCAAAAACAGCACCAACAGAGAAAAATGTAACGTTTTCATAGGCTTTTTGGAGGATTTGTACTCGGTAAAATCCTGCCGAAATTTTATCATAAATGCAACAAATAGCGAACTTTTCATACACGAAATCAAATAAAGAATACCGTTTGTCATTTCCGTGCGCAAGCCACTTTTAGGGGAGCAAAAGTTGACCACCCCCCTCGATAGCAAAATTTACTATTTTCAAACTAATTTTTTATATTTTCCATAATTTAAGAACTCAAGCAATCCATACATATAAAAAATTACATTTCATGAACAGAATTGTGGAATTGAGAGCAATTTCAAAATTGTCTTACTTTTTTTGATACACCCTGTATTAAGACTAAACAATTTGGTTATAAATAATGATATTTATTTCATTCTATACCTTGTTCTCTTATAAACTACAGTTATTAATACAACTCATAATGTATCTATGTTTCTTTGGTAATTCGTTCACTTGAGGCCGGTTTACACGACCAGTGTTTTGGGCACGGCACCACTAAAAATGGGCACCCGTGCCCAAAATTTTAGGCACGGCACCTCTGCCTTTTGGCGTGTAAACGTGACAAAAATCGGCACCGGTGCCGTAAAATTTAAACGTGCCGAGACTTTCTCACGAGGTAGTCTCGGCACGTCTAGCAAGGGGTGCCGTGCCCAAATTTCGAAAAAACTAAAAAATGTGTTCGACATCGAGCATGCGCAAAACAAATTGTCCTCTTTCCAACATGGCAGCAAGCGGCGAAAAACTACAACTTGCCAAAAATTAAAAAAAAACAAAGTTAAAAAACAAATTTAACACAGAATGTGAATGTTGATCTAGTTGACTCGGAAATTTTGATACCACTGTTCGTCGCTGAATAGAGCAGTAAATAGGTCGTAGCAAATAGCTGTCGTTCGATGCGTCCATACCTCTCGAATTCGTGACGGGTGAATACAAGATGCCACAACATTTATGCGAGAAAACAACTCCTTTCGTCTTTAAGGGCCTGTTCACATGGGCAAAGGTTATCCCGGTTAACGAGAAAATTTTTCGACTAGCCAAATATACTTTTGTTCTGTTCACATACATGGAGAAACGTTATTCCGCTTACCGGGTAAAGTTTCCGGCTGTGACATAGCACTGAATACCAATTGAATTGAAAGGTTACTGACACGACAGAAAGCTATCCTGCCAAGCGGGAACTAGAGTGGTGTTCATAATTATGGGAAAAACATTATCACTTGACAAGCGAGATCTCGGTACGTGCACGGGAAAACGTTTTGTCTTATATGAACGCAGTGTAAACTAACTTTTCATATTATTTTCATACCAAGGCGAGATCTCGCCTGTAAACTTTTCGAAAAGTTTTTTCACTAACCAGGATAACTTTTACCCATATGAACTGGCCCTTAAAGTACGTTCCTAGTATTGAATTGGGTTTTCCCCTAGATTTTCGGCTCATATATAATATTCTTCTTCGTTCCAATAAATATAAATATATAATTCTATTTCTGGCCGGCATATTTATTCTTTAAAATATACCGTCGTAAACGGAAAATAGAGGTGCCGTTTTCCGATGGGCACGCACTGAATATCAATTGAATTGAAAAGATGCTGATACGACAGAAAGTTATCCCGCTATAAGCGGTAAAGTTGTGTTCATGCATATGGGAAAAACATTATCCCGGTCACCGAGATCTGACTTGTCAACAAGGGCCAACAAGCGAGATCTCGGTACACGGGAAAACTTTTTGTCTCATATGAACGGAGTGTAACTTTTCATATTATTTTCATACCAAGGCAAGATCTCGTTTGTAAACTTGTCGAAAAGTGTTCTCGCTAACCGGGATAACTTTTGCCCATATCAGCTGACCCTTAAAGTACTTTTCTGGTATTGAATTGGTTTTTCCCCTTGATTTTCGGCTCATATAATACTCTTCTTCGTTCCAATAAATATAAATATATAATTCCATTTCTGTCCGACATATTTATTCTTTAAAATATACCGTCGTAAACGGAAACTAGAGGTGCCGTTTTCCGATGGGCACGGTGCCTATCATAAAAGTGTGTTTACAAAATGTTGTCGTGTAAACGAGTAAATAGCGAAGTGGCGGTTTTGGCACGGTGCTCATTTTCAGGGGTGCCGTGCCCAGAACGCTTGTCGTGTAGACCGGCCTTAGGTGTAGGGTTTGTGTTAGTTACATTTAAAGGCCGCTTTCCACTTCAACCGTATCGTACACGCGTAAAAACGCTCAGGTTGATGCAATACTGATGAAAACAGGATTGAACAATGTCAGTTGCTGCCCACATTGTTCATAGCTGTCAACAATATTGAACAATATTCAGGCTCAACAATAGTGTTCAATATTGTTGACAAGTGTGAACAATGTGGGCAGCAAAACATTGTTCAATCCTGTTGAGCAGCGGGCTCGGCGTTTTTTGCCGTGTACCGAAACGTAGAGTATTTCTTTGTTTCCTGAGCTACTGATGATTTCAACACAAAAGAAAATGCTACGATACGGTCGAAGTGGAAAACAGGTTTAAAACCTCTTCTCTCTTCCGAAAATGACGTCAGATCAGTTTGCTGGATGGAAAATAGTGCTACTATTAGGATTGGTGTACAGTTATCCCGGTCGAAACAGGTTTTAATGTCTGGTACGACTCATAAACTGAGATTCCATGATATTACAAAAAGAATGAATTTAAGCAAAAATTCGTATGCATATGATTACGAATAACATTAGACATAGAATATACTTCAAAGACAGAAAATTTTGAATAATATTGTTATTTTCTTTACATTTTGACAATATTTTTTTAAAAATTCGTCAGGCCCGCAACTAGATCCGCGGCTTGCAATCGTGTTAGCATTTTTCTGCCCGCAGCCCGCAATTTTTGGCCCGCAGCCCGCATTTTTCTGCCCGCAGCCCGCATTTTTCGGCCCGCAGCCCGCATTTTTTGGCCCGCAACCCGCAGTTTCGGCCCGCAGCCCGCATTTTTCGGCCCGCAGCCCGCAACCCGCAGAATAGTTAAACTCTATTATTTATATATACGTATATATATATATATATATATATATATATATATATATATAATATAATTATATATATATATATATATATATATATATATATATATATATATATATATATATATATATATATATATATATATATATATATATATATATATATATATATATATATATATATATATATATATATATATATATATATATATATATTTATATATATTATATATATATAAACCATTGGTTTCCCTTTTCCATTCATAAACATTGAATTCACCATAGTGAACATATCTAGTTTTATCCGCGTATTTATCTCCCAAATGACAATAGAATTCTATTTTGGTTTAATGGCTTTTTACGTTTGCGCGAGCTTCATATTGTCATCATTCATCAATCACGATTTTTGGCTAAAATGTGGCCATTCCCTGTCCTATAATAACCTTGATAAAGATTACGGTCATGAATTGATTAGTCATGACCCTATTGACCCAAGTATTACGTTGCCTCCGACACAATAGCAACGTGATTACTGCTTATAAATTATTCACATTTTTAAAATATAATTGATTTCGTTTACAAATGTCCTTGACTTCTCCCGTCACATATATCCGGGTGACTGTGGCTTTGTAAGTTTGCCAGACTTCTATTACATTAATTGCATGTATAGTAGGCGCAGTGTCCCACTGCAGCAGGAAAAAAATACTCGCCGCTAATGAGGCCATTTTCAAAACTGTGTACTAGTCGAAATAAACAGATCCAAGCCGAAATAAAAAGATCCAAGCAGGAGTATTGCCATTTTGAACATACAAACTGAGTAAATTTTGCCTTCATTTCAAAATCACCATCGAACAGAATGAAATACAAGCTAAACTACGCATGCATATAATAAAATAGCTACTGTACAGCCTACAGCAGATACTGAGAATAACACGTCACAGAAACTATAGATCAGACGGTGTGGCTACGATAGATCAGTCTAGTAAAATATAAAACGAACAATTTTGGATTGCATTACAATTTGCAAGTGGGTAAAGGAATGGCAATAGACACGTCCCGAATTGCTACGTTGTCCGCCTCGATTTCAAACTATTACTTTGTGTAAACTCAAGCATAGGGCATTTGGGAATTGTCTATTATTTTCATTGTTATGTAGTTAGGAGTCTTGTATCTGCAAAGAATAGTGAGAGATACAGTTTTAATTAATGCCTTTGGCCCGTTGAAAACACATACGGATACCAATCAATTCAGAAGTATACCTATTAAATTACAATTATAATACTAAGAAGGTCTAAGAACTGTACTTACAAAGAGAGATTCGTGCTCGTCGTCGAAGAAGGGAAACCGAAATCCAATATTTACGCGATCAGAACTACCATCATCATTGGTCGGTACCGAGGTATCTCCGTTCTCAGGTCCGTAAGGATAGAAATCGTTAAGTTCTATACGCATGTAAACAACTTGGAGAACGTTAAGGAAAACAAAAGCCAATACAACAGACTCCATAACTGTATTCTGTCCTTCTATGCGTTCAGGAACGCATTCCAAGAAATAATACCTATCATATTACGTATGTATATCAACAGCTAGAAACCACTTGAATGCATATTTTGCTAATTAGTAAATCAACTCAGCCATAGCCTATCGAAGGGAAGATGGCTGTGAAACTTATTAGAATATAAATATAACTCATTTTCTATGCTGGTCAACGTTTATTCATAAATCTGGTCCTTCACCGTCACGTGTGTATTGTATTTTTGCCCAACTAACCAATAGCAATGTTTTAGGAAAGTCACGTATCCGTGACTCGAACAATAGGGAAAATGGAAATTGCTATTGGTGGATTTGGTAAAAATGCAATACACACGTGACGGTGAAATGATCAGATTTATGATCAATAAACATTGACTAAGTTACATAGATAATGAGTTATATTGTTATTCTAATGAGTTTCACAGCCATCTTCCCTGCGATAGGTTATGACTCAGCATATTACCAATAATGGCTGTAATGTGAACCACAATAATGATATATAATTATAATTATTTATAATGTTTGGACATATGGCGTTCAATATAGATATAGCCTGCGTAGTAGGCGCTATTTAGGGGGGAGGGCGAAGGTGGGAAAAGCTGGGGGGGGGAATGCGAAGGCGAGAGAAAGAAAGCGAGGAAAAATGGAAGGGGCGAGAAAGAAATAGCGAAATAGAAAAAGAAATAGCTATTTCTTTCTCGCCCCTCCCATTTTTCCTCGCTCTCTTTCTCTCGCCTTCGCATCCCCCCTGGCTTCTCCCACCCTCCCCCTCCCCCCTAAATAGCGCCTGCTACGCAGGCTAATATAGATATGTCCTGGAACATATGACTTAATGATAATTTGTTTAGCATGCAATGTGACATTCGTCTCAGCAATATGTTAATTAATTAAAAATATTCACGATTTAAATACAAGTATGTATATGAAAAATGACTGTCTTTGCCAGTGCAGGTAGTGTCAATAAAATGAAAAAGCTCTCGTTGATAGGGATGCAACTACGTATACCCGAAAATATATAAGGAGAATTTCGACTTTTCGAGCGAAGGTCCTTCGTCTGGAGTTAAGCCAGTTTCAGACGAGCAAGTTTTCTAATGCTAGCATGCTAGCTTTTGAACAAGTGCACTTATCATAGAAAAAATTGTTAAAGTTGCGCGTACAGACGAGCAAATAAAACTTGTCACATAAAAACTTGTTGACCCATACATACGAACAAAATTTGAACTTTGACAATTTTTTCTATGATAAGTGCACTTGTTCAAAAACTAGCATGCTAGCTTTTGAACAAGTGCACTTGGAAAAAATTGTCAAAGTTCAAATTTTGTTCGTCTGTATGGGTCAACAAAGAAAACTTGTCAAAGTAATCTGAGCATTTGATGTGATTGGCCAGCGGACTATTATAATTTTTCTGTCATGGTGGTGATAAACATGCACCTTTTTCTGACACGTTCACACTAGTAAATAAAACTTGTCATATGAAAACTTGTCGTATAAAATTTGTTGCATATACACACGTACACTGGGCAAATAAAAGTTGTCACATAAAAACTTGTCATAGAAAACTTGCTCGTCTGTAACCAGCTTTACAAGCGGGTGTAGGAAAATTACATGAGCTTTTATACCTAGAATATAGAAGCGAGCACGTGACAACAAATAAACCAATCAGATGGATTTAGTCAAAACAAAGTATAAACAAAAAAATGTAAATCACATTACAGAATATATTAACACAATTATACACTGAAAACACAGCGAATACAAAATATATGAAACAAGTATGGAATACGGTAAGAATTAAAAGTACTGTCAATGTCTGTTTTAGACTGACGAGTTAGGGGCTGTTTATATGGAAGCGAGCCAGCCCGGGTACCCGAGCTGGCTCGCATCCCCGAGATGAATTTCACCACGCGTTTACATGAAACTTACATCAAGGGCTGGCTCTTCGTGTTCTATTTTTTTTGCGTAAATAACTCCATATATGGATGTTGGTTCCTTATATGGGAGTTGTTTGTGCATTCTGAATTATTCTAATTAATTGCGCATGCGTATTTGCTAAGTTTCCAGCCCTACTAGGAGGGCTAGCCCTCCCTGTTGCGTTTATATGGAAAACTACCCAGCTCGTTTACCCGAGGTCTCGGGTCACACGAAGCGGGACCTCGGTTAGGCGGGCCAGCTCGGTTCTCATATAAACGCAGCCTGAAATTTAGTAGGAAATATTAACAAAGATAGGATCCCGCCTAAAGCGAGCTAGCTCGGGTACCCGAGCTGGCTCGCCTCATATAAACAGCCTAAAACATAGGAAAAAGTTTATTAATGCCATAGGGGTGGACAGTGCTAGTGCCAAGTTTGGAAACGAGATGCACCTCGCATCTTTTGCGGCTATCGTTTCTAGCTACCATAAATGGGACAGAGGGCTCGAATTTCCATATCTGAAACACTGCAGGGTTCAGGGACGTCGCTATAGGGGGAGGGAGGGGGTGTAACACCCCCCACCCCCCAATAATTCAAACGTTGGTCAAAGTTGGTCAAAATGGAACTGATATATGCTTAATTAAAATTGAATGTAAAACTCGGAAAAATTTGGTCAAAGTTTGGGATAAAAGATGGTCGAATTTGCTGAAAGTTATGAAATTGCTTATCTTGGTCGAAAAACGTTCAGTCTATATTAGTCCGGAAATTTTTTTTTGACTATGCTTATGTTAGTCCGGAAATTTTTTTTTGACCTCCCCCCCCGTCGACAACATTTGCGGGAAAAATTTGTACGACTTGGTCAAAATCCTAGGAAATGTTGGTCAAAACATGACGACACCCCCGCCCCCCCCCCCTCCCCCAATGTTGATGGCTTCGCGACGTCCCTGCCAACACTGTGATTGCCAGTATTAACGTCTGGCAACAGACTGGTTAGCATCATTGCCAATGACTGAACGCCGATACTCACCAAACCTTGTCCTCAAAGATCTTCTCCTTTCTCCAATATATGGTCTCCAAGAGATGCAGTAGATGAGGTGGGAGGAGGTACACGTCAAATTATGATGCTTGACATGGTATTGAGATTTTGGTGCCGAAATTGTGGTGGCAGAATGTATATAAAATCACAGGTGTGGCATACATTTGGCAGCCCGACAAGGAAATGTGCCATTCTGTGACGGCGAATTCTGTGATAGGGAGCTATGAACTAAGGTTTCACGGATATTTTTGTCTAAGGGTTATTGGAGAAAATGGAGGATATTTCGTGCTCGCTTTTCTAAATATGGAAATTCCTCCTAATGACATCTCTAACTTTGAAATGGAAAGGATGATAAAATAATACTAATCGGATCAGTGTTGTTACCTGTGACATTGGACACAGGGTCTGTAAGGGTCTCAGATCGGGGGAATTTGGGAGGCCTTTCTAATGGAGAGGTGGGATAGCCACGTTGGACAAGAAAGTGTCTCATTTTCATACTTTTGGCTTGGAAGTCCTCCTCTTCACTTAATGCAGCAAATGGGGTAATCTAGTTACTTCTGTGTTTTACAAGACTTCTGACTCCCATAGCTATCTTCTATTTTCCTCTTTCCACGCCAGCCACACCTAAAGGTCGATTCCCTTCTCTCAGTCCCTTCGCCTTCGCCTACCATTGATTGACACAAGGATATCGAAGAATGATACACTTGTCTCGCTGATCTCCCAAAGTTACTAAAACGTTCCAATTGGACACGAGAACATGATGCTGTGCCAACACAGTCATCCATGTGCGTCAAGGTAATCAGGTATGGGATCAGTGTATTGTCCGAATATCTGTTCATCGTTTCCACAAAATTATTTGCCTCTGCCTTCGCCATCAATTATTAGCCTCTGCCTTCAGCATCAGCAAATAATTGATCTGCTCGCCACCGACAAATCACGATATTTTGCTCAACCTCGTCCAATAATTGATCATTATAGGATGCCGTTTTGATAGCGCGTATTATCGGGCTCTCGGCGCGCCCAAAACATCGAAAATATTGTGTCGGTATACAAAAAAAACTATTCATCTGATATTCTTGCTACATTCAAGTCAAAGCCCACAGCAAAGCGAAGAGAAAAGGAACTGTATTTAAGCCATTTAAGAAATGCCATAGTTAACAATCATTGAGCTTGCAGCGAATCAATTGTTGTAGTATAAATTAAATTTTTACTACAACAATTGATTCGCTGCAAGCTCAATGATTGTTATTTAACAGGAGTGCCGTGCCCAAGAAATGGTCGCGTGCCAAAATTTAAGCGTATATACCGTGCCCAAAATGACTGTCGTGTAAACGGACTCGGGCTAAGAATTTTTCAGGTATCTATGTGCTTGTTAGGGAAATTGATTCGTACTTTTCTTTATTTTAATAAAGTGACAGGAAATTATGTGCAACTAAGCGTTAAACTGGGAAACCCCCCTCATTTCCGCTTAAATACAGTTGTGCGTTGACGTTACACCGTTTGAAAATATGGTCGAAGGCACTTTTAAAAGTGTCGATCCTCTTGCTTACTATGTGAATAATGTTGAAGACTTTGATCGAGACATTGTTGGTGCCTGTAAAAGAAAAGACACTGCAGAAATACGACGGCTAGCATCGAGAGGGAAAGCGGACAATGTCTATGATATATTTATTTGTATTTCTAAGAACTGGCATGGCTACGTTTTATGTGTCCCGGCTAAAGTCGATCCTACGTTTGAAGATATGATAACAGATGTGATTAAAACACCATTTGATGTCCCAGATTTAATGTTGTGTTTCACGTTTGAGTTGTGCTACGAAGACGAACGACTACAGACGTACAAAATTCGCAAAACGTTTTCTTTATTCAAGGACATCAAAGGTAGGATCGAGCGAAGTTTCTTTATCGGACATTACGAAGAACTTAGTCCGTCGGGTCTTCAGATTTGTGCCATCCATGCTGCCCCTCATCGTTATGCTGTACTACTGAAAGACTGTGTTGAATTCTCAAAAGAATTTTGTATCCAAGCTCTCAGATTCTGCTCTAACGGAAGAGCAATTGAAAACGAGGTTAACAAGAATATAAAGGCCGCGACAGCAAGCGGATTCAGCTTTGAGCATCTTTCCCGTAACATAAAAAGTTCTGCTTGGATTGGGAACGTGCTTCTTAACGGAACTGATCTCAGTTCTATATTTTCTCGTCGCCATTCGACAATTATCGCTTGCCTTGTGTTTGTGTTCATTCTTGTATATCCTGTGTTTGTTGTTGTAGTTTACAGTTGGATGAAATGATAAACTTCGTTTAGATAGTACATTTTTGTCCGGGCATTTTACTTAGATTTAATTTACTTATTGGGTTTTCGAACCAATTCCTTGAGACTAACTTAAGAAGACAAAGATATGGCGGTCAGGTTGGATTGAGGAAAACGCGCTCCAATTGATACAAGCTAGAGCGACATTTTGTTAGCGTCGCTCATCCAACATGATCGCCAATCACCACGACGTCTGAAACCAAAATTAAAATACGTTTGTAGCATTTTAATCGTAATTTAGAATCAGCCTAAAGCTGATTTCAGTAATATAAGTGTTGTTCATAGATCAGATTTTATAATTATGCTTAAAACGTGGACATATAATAGTGTTGAGATTCCGGTGTGTAGCCCATCTGTCACTATATAGCCATAGTTATTTTAGGTATATATTTGTGATTTTGTAAACGTTGGTGAAATATATTGTTTTTGCTGTTGCTATTTTTGTTTTGTTCCAAATTATAAACTGAAACGGAAAAACCACTTGACGAATTTCAGGTTGAAATAGTGTCTTCTGTTATAATTATTCAAACACAAAATCATGCATATATTATTCATATGAATCGTGTTTATTATTATTCACTGTCATAACAGTATTCATTGCCCGATGAATAATATATCAAGCGCAATTTGCATACATATATTTATTTACATATTTACTAATTATTTCACATACCTTAAACGATTCCATATAGGCCTACAGTTCTGCTAATTGCCCAGTTTGGATCGCATTCACTCGAGAACAATTCTATACCTATAATATTAGCGAGCGAACAATGTGACTATAACATTTTATATAATAACCTCAAGAATTCATGCGATTTCATTGGTCGAGAGCCATGACCTATTAGAGGACAGACGCACCTAATTACGACATTAGTTTTTAAAATGTCGAAAATATTTGAAAATTCTACTGAATTTATACAAATTGAATGAATTCGATCATGCAATTAAATCTATAAACATCAATAAATACCTTCGATAAATGTGCAAAAGTCACTCACAAAAGCAACTCGGCAAATCTCAATTCAGTCATTCAACTGCGACTTCAAATTCAATCCGGTCTTCGAAAACAAATACTATTTGAGTCATTTGACCCTGTCGATGTCACGTTTTTCAGCTGGTTTCTTCACTTCGTGCAACATAGGCAATGTCTAAGTGCTTTTCTATCACCATAGTTGCTCAGAACTAAATAATTGCCTTTTTATCACACGTTTTTATTTCTTTAAAACAATATTTTTTCACTGTTTTGATAAATTTTTAGTGTTGGGTTCTCCTTATTTATTACCGTCTAGCGCATTCTAAGCTTAGCCAATCACAATTCAGCACGTGACTTAAGCGAGCCAATAGCATTTCGTTATTCGTATAGATCATGAACGCGTCATGTTTGCAAAATTTCGACTTCCAAATGTTTGGGGAATAAAAATAACATGTTTACCTGTTTAATTCGGGAATTTTTTCAATTTTATTATATTGAAAACAAGTAGATTACATTTTTCCGTTGCTCTTTTTGTTCTTACCACATATGACGTCATACTGTATATCTATAACTGAACAGACAACGGTTAAATGTAATCTATTTGTTAGATATTTATCATTTATAGACATTAGACCCGTCTCCGTTCCAGGGGATTCGACGAAATATTACCCGTCACCTTCCCTCCGGGCAAAGCTCCTAGAGGAATATCAGGCTGAGCTAGGGTAATATTTCACCGAATCACCTGAGCAGAGAGTATATAATGATATATTATACCGAAAATTAAAAGGCTTTAGGCTCCAAGTTGAGAATGTAAAACTTGCCACATACCTTCGTGAATACGATGTTTTATTTTTATTTTTGGTTTAACGCAATTATCGTCGCTTTTCTCTCGAATCATTCAAAATTTGCTTCAAATGTTTTTAAAAAACGAGGTTTTCTTCTAATTTAAAAATGTAATAATTCATTACTTCTTAGTATATTTTGTCGGCCATCTTGTTTGCGTGATCGCAGTGCGTAGTTTGCAGTGACGTGAATCATGTAACCTGGGATTAAATTGCCATGTGATATGATTCCAGTCACCTGCTTACGTCAAATACGATGACGTAAGGCGCGATTCGATGATTAATTTCATGCTCACGTGGCACAAACTTTGCTTTTGAATTTTAGGTATTCTATGCTATCGCGAATGGTTTACTCGCATGAAGCAGGCAATGGCAGACATTTCAGCTTTCAAAATGGTGTCCACTAGGCGATTCTTTTCACTTTGGTTCGATGATATACGATCACTGAAGAGTAAGTAAGTTAATCAAAAAGTGTCATAAGCCATGCACTCGTTTGCAAATTTTGGATAGTACTGGCAACAATGCAATCTCGTACCCAGGCTATTTCTTCTACGCTCCAGAGTAAAAGCCTGGGAACAAGGTTCGCAACACTGATCTAATTCTATTTTGGATTGTATAATCACCGCGTACTTTAATGGATGGGAACAATTACAGCGTACAGTACGTACTTCCAATGAAGTATGGATAATTGATGCGACAGTAGATGAAATATTACTGTTTAGCCCACAGGGGAGGGGAATAGTTTTTCTAAATGCGAAATATGTAACAAAACCGTTGGCATGACAAACTTCTAGAGGGGAAGGAGTTTTTATCAGCGGGACGTCGGAGCAGATGTAAAAGTGGGGGAGGGGCACACTTAGCGCCCGCCGAAGATTCTAGGGGGTCCTGGGGGCATGCTCTCCGGGAAAATTTTAAAACTAAAGTCTGCGAAATGCAATTTCCTGCAATTTAGAGATTTACAGAGTTCTAAAGGCCACAAAATGTCATAAAATATCTCAAATTGCTTTTTGTACACGCGTAACTGAAATAATATAATTTAATTTTGTGTTTATTACTGACCATTGTTAAAAAGTAGGGGGCCCAAAGACATTTAGGCCCTCAAACTAAAAAAGTGGGGGGGGGGGCTCGTCTCCCCCCTTGCTTCCGACGCCCCTGTTTTTTATCGTTTGCAGGAAGTGTGCTTGATGCCAGCGCCACGATTTAACATCTTTACGTTCAACAGCGGCCGAAGAATTGCTTGAGCTAGGCTCCTGGAGTTCTTGTGGTGATATAAACTGGTTTAGAACGCTCTTTTCTGTTACTAACAAGAGCACTTACTGTAGTTATATGGTTTGTGGCGCAATAGAGTCAGTTTTACTGATTTTGTATAAACTAACTACGGAATATTGACAAAAGGATGGCTTCTAGGCCCGAATCAAACTTTCGAATAATATTTCTAGTTATATTATCTAAGCTTCAAAACTGAAACAACTAAACAATACTCTTTTTGACATTAGAACAAGCCAGTGGAAAACGACGAAAATAGTCACGAAACTTTAACTCTCTCGATAAGAAATGTTCTTCACAAATAAAATCCACTAGGAAATTTCAGTGGCGAAGCTAATCATAGAAAAAATTTTAAATTTGGTTCTCTGAAATGGCCTTCCCAGCATTCTGGAGTTTGTCTAATATGCGAGCTGCGAGTCTGCGAGTTGCGAGTCTGCGAGTCTGCGAGTTGCGAGTCTGCGAGTCTGCGAGTTGCGAGTCTGCGAGTTGCGAGTCTACCAGTTGCGAGTCTGCGAGTTTACAGTGGGGATTTATTGCCTCGAAAACGCTCACTTAAAAGTGTAATTTTGTGTGCCTTTGACGAATTGATCTTATATTTTATACTTTGACGTTTCACTTTTTCGAATTTTTCAAATTTTGGCGGGGAAATGACGTCATCCTTTTGGCGCCAATATTTTGTTTAAGTGTTAAGACTTCCTTAGTTAATTTTTCAAAAGTTAGATGTTGTGTAAATTTCAAAACCGAAAATATAATTGAATTATCTTGATCCGATCAAGAGTTATAACGGATGGAACGTTCAGATTTCGGCCATTTTGTTACAAAAAATAGCCCAAAATGGCCGAAATCTGAAAATTCCATCCTTTATAACTCTTGATTGAATTAAGATAATTCAATTATTTTTTCTGTTTAGAAGAAGGAATGATGACGTCATTTTCCTTCCAAAATTTGAAAAAAATCGAAAAAGTGAAACGAGAGCATTTCTTAGAATGAAAAGATCTGTCAAAGTATAAGATATAAGATCAATTCGTCAAAAGCACGCAAAATTACACTTAAGTGAGCGTTTTCGAGGCAATAAATCCCCACCGTAAACTCGCAGACTCGCAACTCGCAGACTCGCAATATAGCCGACCTCAGCATTCTGAGAACCCATTTTGTGAAAGATTTTAGGTTTTCAAAAAAATTTAATCTTCATTTTGCATTTTGTGATAAGTTGTAATTGTGATTTGCCAGTTACCCTGAATAGCAAAAAAAAAACCCCAAAAGTAGGCTTTTATTCATTTTCTGAACTGCGGGATTTTGTGAGTGCGGCAGTGCGGACTCAAATGACGATCGTTCGCTCACAGATTCTACGACTATAATTTTAAAGACGTCAATCTATTTTATAAACCAACATGGCTTCATTAAATAGTCAAACCATGTGTATTTAATTTTGCTGTATTTTCTTATATTTTTGCAACGTGGTCCTCATGCACCAAGATTCTGTCTGCTGCTATGCTACATTGTGTACATTCTTCGACTATATAGTTTTTGTAGACCATTAATTGACTATATAGTTTTTATAAGTGCGACTGAATATGAAACAAAAGCGTTGGCATGACAAACCTCTATAGGGGAAGGGGCAGTGGTGAAGATTGCCATAGCAAATGGTCCGAATATGCAAATTTTTAATGATTTGTATCATTCAAACCTTCAGAAATGTGTTGTCTTTTAATTATTTAGATACAGGTTTATCAGCATAGCATGACCATTTCCATTGATTCTACATGTACAATGTACAATGTACAATGTACAATGTACAATGTACAATGTACAATGTACAATGTACAATGTACAATGTACATTTATTTGAAGTAACACTTCTTTAAAATAACCGCTTTATTTCCTTCACCTTAATGCCCCTTCCTCTTCAGCTTCTTGGTTGTCGATACTATTGTCTTACTAGAAAACTCTGCTGAACCATTCTTGCTCTCATGCTTTTCGAGTGTTCTTGCGCTGTTCTTTTTCATATGCATCCATTTCAAAGTTGCAGGTCGTGGCTCAAAATTAGATAGAGGTGGCATCATTTATATCTATGTAGAGGTACTGTAGTTGCTGATAATTTGACGTTTTAAGGATGATCTTGACTTAACTTTGTTGTATAACGAAAGGACTCTCTCGCATGCAGAAGAATGTGGCTTGCATACCAGAATGCAGAGTATTGTTCCTCGTCTCCTTTAACGATGCTTTGAGAGACGGAATGCCTTTTTGTATCTCATTGTCTCATGGAAATTTAATAGACAAGTTTGCCAAACTAAGGTCAGGCGCAATAGATTGGTGAATATCTTTTATTTCATCCAATTAATTCAGTGTCTACAAAATCTTTTAGT